CAGTGTACTGTACATTGTATTGTGCTTTGTATTGTACATGGTACTGCACATTGTATTGTACAGTGTACTGTACGTTGTAGTGCACATTGTACTTGTATAGTGCAATGAGAGTCTTATAATGTACACGGCTCTCTCAGTGTACTGTACAGTGTATTGTACAATGTTGCGTGTGGTGGCACTAATTCATGAAATCGCGAGGATTAATGAAATGAGAAGGAAAATTGGAATGATATATGGAATGAAAAGGACAAAATAATGATGTGAGAGGAAAGATGAAGTGGAAATGTGGAAAACTGAAGTTATGGAATTTTCTATTAAAAAGAGTGAAATAGTGGATGGAATACTCAAGCAGTCAAGATAATGTGAGCGAAACGATGCATTATAGCAGTGACCGCCTAGTTGCTACGATGCATTCGATTGTCTATAATTTCAATCAGAATGTTAGATCGAACGATCATTTAATTCATTGCAGGCTAGCACAATTGATAGTCAAGGCAATTTAATGATTCTAATTATATGTTAAATGAGGAATTCACAGGATTCAGTAGAGACCATCTCAATTTACGGAGAAAAGTAATTCTAGCAATATTTTTAATATTTATTTTCTCCGTATAATTATATAAAGAATTTGCATTAGATACGAGGCAGTGTTTTTTTTTTTTTCATGCTGGGACGTATCGTTTCACTTTTTCTATATGATTTTCAAGGTAAACTATCGATTTAGAAAATCATTCAAGATATGCAGCTCTCCACAAAGTAGGTTTCTGTTGCGGCCACAATTTTTGCTTCGGAATCACTCGCGTTATGAATGTATGCTTTCCATCGGATGATTGTTTTGCAAGTGTTCTTTTATCGAAACTTTTGCGGTAACAAAAATCTTTTTAATCATCATGAGATCCAAATGCAATCGTCATGAAAAATATAAGCATAATTTTCAATTGTTATAGAGGGAAAATTTGTCTATCTTTCATTTATAATATATTGATAATTAATTATGAAAAATAATTCCTGTAGAAAATCTATTGTGATATTTATTTACATATGCAAAATAAGCAATAAAATTCAAATTAATCCTAAAATAGTTCTGAAAAAGAAATTTTGAAATAATAAATTTTCTCATAATGTTAAATCATGCATCTTATTTCATGCAATATTTTTTGGGTCCTTTACAAGCATTCGTTGTGTTTTTAGCGCATTTTCTCATTTATGGAAAAATGCACTATTGTACTCGCCATGTCCGTCTGTCTGTCTGTCTGTCTGTCCGTCCGTCCGTGATCTCAAGTCTGTCTGTCCGTCCGTCCGTGATCTCAAGTTTTCGTCGACGAGAAAATGAGCTCACTGTCACTCACTGCAGTGAGTACTGAGTTTTATTTTTTTATCACTTACATAACTCCTTCTAGTATAACAATCAGTTTAAATCATGACGTTATATTTCTTATCATTTGCAAAATTTATTATTGTCAAATATTCATCATGAATGGTTTCCAATAACTTTAATAATTTAGCTAGACTTGCGTGCCAATTCTAGCTTAACTTCTTTATTTCTATTCGAATTAAGAGTATAATAACAAAATTACATATTAACTTATGTGTGCCTATATAAATGGATATCAAACCTATTGCAGCTGATATACATGACTCTTATGAAAGTGAAAGAGGATACCGAAGCGTTCCATCAGATGCAAAAAAAAAACTCTTATAAAGATGGAAGTGGAAACGCAAGTATTGTACCAGAATGCAAATAACTCATGAAGATGAAAGCAGCTCCTGAAATGAAACAACCAAACAAATTTCCGTCAAATTACTGAAAATGAAAAATTCCTTTGCACGCTCACAGGGCGGCATTATATAACCAAGGTAAAAAATAAATAAATTGTAGGAGGAAGGCGCTACAAAAATGCCTCTGTAATTTTTAGGATTCATTTTTCCACGTAATATGAAATGAGAAGCGAGCTGCAATGAACAATTTTCATAACGTCCTTGTTCTCGCAGGCCAGTCCGGATATGAACATTTTGTGAGATACTGTACTCATAGATAGAAATGCCAGTTGACCAGTTTTTCCGTTGATGAAATATTGTTATATAATGAACTGATAAATTATTATGTTAATATAATCTTCTGAGGAACCTAGTACCTATTTGTCCTACGCTATAGTAGGTTATAAAAGAATGTTCAGTAGTATAACGTTCTGACAGAAACAGTTCTTATGATCATCGCGGCAAGATATGTTCATGTTGGAGTATTTTTTTACTTTTTTAACTTTCTAAATGAGCATGTTTCCAGTAGGTGTAACATCATTATTGAAATTACATCATAATAACATTCATATGTCAACAATATTAAAGTCACGAGCTCATCAATTAGCGTGCAGGTGCATCTTTCGTCGTTAAAAATACATAAAAGATAGCATGTGTAAGAGGAATATTCAAATTATAATATGTATACTGGAGTAATACCATATACAGGACTCGGGAAAATTTGAGTGGAAAGTTGCATAATTGTGCCGAAAATTCGGAGTAAACTCAGTAATAAGAAAGCATTGAAGCACAATGAAGTGAGTGAAATTCAACCTAAAATTAATAAAAATGACCGGTGTAGTAATTAAAACGGAGAAAATTTGATTTAAGCGTCAAATTCGTCAAAGGCACCAATTTTAACAACAAGAAAACGTATCGAATGAAAACAAGAATGAAATTATTAACTTGAATATGGATAGAGGAATTCCCGTTAACCCACACTCAGAACTTTACTTGAGAAATTCAATACAAAATTAATTTGTTTTCACTTTTTATGCCGTAAATACAGTGAAAAATGTAAATATTTCGAAACCAAGCAATAATTATTATTATTTAAATTTTTTAATTGAAATAGGGTTAATCTTATTTTTGTTAACTTTCAGTAGCGTGTTTTTCTCGTTGAAACAGCAGTTGTTGAAATTATGTCTGCTTGATGTTTAATGAACTGAACTCAGCTCTGAAAATGCTTAAGAAAAATCAAACTTTTGCATCAACCCAATGATCTTGAAATCGATAATTAAGAACAACCAAAATTCTGGCAAGATATAAGATTTAAGTTTGATTTCAAAATAAATTGTAAGTAAATTTTGTGAAAAAGCCGTTAATTTTTCTCTCAGACAGCCTTGGTAGAGATCTGCGGCAAAAGGATCACAGCTCGACATGATTGGACGTCCCACGGACAAACACACGAAACTTTGCTTGTTATAATTGAAAATAAAATTGTTCAGATTTAAATTCTCTTGAGAACTATCCATATTTTTACACAGAATTTCAAAACAACGTACTACCTGACGTCGAAATTCAGCTATGTAAGGGATATGAAATCTCTTGAATTGATTTATTGAATATGAAAGCATGTGATATAAACGAAATATTGGTGATCTGGAAAAAATAATAAATTTATTCTATTGAAACAGAAAGTGGACAACTTTAGGTAAAAGATCGAAACAAAAAAACAGGAACGTATCTTAACAAGGCAGAACGAAACGCGCCTATGAAATAATTACAAAAAATTAACTTAAGGAAACAATAGCATAAAAACCCATAATACTTTACAAAAGCAAATTAATTGTTCAGAATGATAGTTTCCACGACCACAAACAACATCAAGGCAGTCCCCGCAGCAGAGCCAGTAATTTCATTAATAAACTTCACATAAGGGATATTGTTTCAGCTAACAATATAATTCCCAGCACGAGCTCTCTTCAATAATTATCATAAAGACATTTGTTGATGAAGTCCGGCATTAATGGGAATATGAGATATTAATTGCATTGTGTCTTGGTTAATATGGGGGAGGAGTGAATGTGGGGGACGGGTGAGCGTCTGCCTCATGTGTGGGGGACGGGGTGAGCGTCTGCCTCATGTGTGGGGGACGGGGTGAGCGTCTGCCTCATGTGTAGGGAACGGGGTGAGCGTCTGCCTCATGTGTGGGGGACGGGGTGAGCGTCTGCCTCATGTGTAGGGGACGGGGTGAGCGTCTGCCTCATGTGTTGGATTTATCATGTATGTCAAGTTGGGTTTATTCCGTATATTTCTGCCAATCTAATTCTATTTACACATCGTATGTACTACTGAAATTTCCAAAAATTTCGGCTATTACCCTATTGGGTAGTAAGTGAATCTACATTAGATATGCATGTTACGGCATAACTTATCTTCTCGCTCTGTATATATAATTTTTCATGTAGATTTTCTCCAAAATCAATGTTTGAATATTGTAATAATCTTTACGTGCATTTGTTTCCGTAATTATTTCACACTGAAAATGTTCATTGGATACAATGGGAATTCTATCAAGCTATGAAATCACGAGAATGAGTTGATGAAATATCATGTAAATAAAGTTTACGCACAAACTCATGCAAACGAAGAAAAGAGTAAAAGAAGTAAGTAATATGAAACCCTCAGGAATGGTGGCTTGCTTCCATTCAACATTGCTTTAATTCAATACTACACGACCTCTGAAACACGAGACTTTGTCAGAATTAAAATGAATGAAAGGTGAAAGAGCGAAATATGGGTGCGTGAAGGAACTAGAGGGTAAAATTCGAAAATACCGACCTAAAGTATAGAAAATTCTCATATTGAGTACGAAAAAGTTTATTTGGAAATCATGCAAAGTACGATGAAAAAAGAAATAAATAATATCCCTCGAACTTTGTAATATGATTCCGAATCACGACAATTTCCGTAACAGTCAAGACCTTGAAAAGCATAAGTTAAACATTGTCCTAGTCTTCTCGAAGTAGCTCTGTTGCAACAGCACATCTCGCGCGCGAAGACCGTCACGTGCAATAAACATGGCTTGGAGGCCAAGCATATGGACGAGAAACCGCGAAATATTTTCGAATAATAAAAATACAAGTTATTCCGCTTCATAATAGCCTCATCAGGCAATTGCCAGTGCAGAAATAACTGGACCAGCGTAGGCGCTCTGCACCATAACAGTCCCTAAAAGACCTGCTTTATGGCTGCCTCGGTCATGCGTAGGGCTGAGGGAGTCCCGAGTGTAGGACTGTTGAGATGAGTACTTCCGGGCTGCTGGAGTGGCACTGAGGTGAAGGAGTGGCACTGAGATGGAGGAGTGCGATGGTGATGGAGGAGTGCCATGGAGGTGGAGGAGTGCCATGTGATGGTGGAGTGGCACTGAGATGGAGGAGTGCCATGGAGGTGGAGTGGCACTGAGATGGAGGAGTGCCACGGAGGTGGAGGAGTGTCATGTGATGGTGGAGTGGCACTGAGATGGAGGAGTGCCATGGAGGTGGAGTGGCACTGAGATGGAGGAGTGCCATGGAGTTGGTGCAGTAGTGCCATGGTGATGGGAGAGTGCCAGGGAGGTGGAGGAGTGCCAGGGAGGTGGAGGAGTGCCATGGTGATGGAGGAGTGTCATGGTGATGGAGGGGTGCCATGGTGATGGAGGGGTGCCATGGTGATGGAGGGGTGCCATGGTGATGGAGGGGTGCCATGGTGATGGAGGGGTGCCATGGAGGTGGAAGAGTGCCAATGTGGTGGAGAAGTGCAGTTAAGATGGGGTGCCATCGATATGATAGTGCCATTCGCGCTATATGAGTAGCGTTATGTTAGATATTCATTTTTCAGAGTATTTTCACTCATATATTTATTCCCTGTCTTTTTAGTCTAAAAAATCCAAATCAACTAGTAGTATAATTGTCGCGTGTTTCGTTAATAATAAATTTAGTCAAGGCACTGCATCATTAAGTTTAAAAGAAATTGGTTTAATTAACAAGTTTTCATAATTCTATAGTTTTGAAAATCATGGCTACTCTTTTCTAGAATTTGAATAAAATTGGTAATAAAATCATGTTACGTCAGCCGGTTTTTCATGTTGCAGTTTTAATTGCTTGGGTTTTGTTATGGAGTGCGCGCTTTGCTATTGTGTTGGGCGGCCAAACAAAATTTTAATGACCTGTTCTTAGTCCTTGTTTTCCTAGCGAGGTAATTAGGAAAACAAGATTTTTTGTTTTCATTGTTTGCACTAAGCCTTCGAGCATTGATATCCTGCTCAAGATAATTAATAACGTCTGTAATATTAACGTCAATAACAACTCGTGAAACAGCGACAATAACCACTGCATGAACAGCAAATACTTAGAAGAATATATTGGAAGAGTGATTATTATTAGTAGTAGCATAATCAACCACAACGACGTCAACCGTAAAAACAGCAGCAGCAGCAGGATCATTGCCACCATCAACAACCATTGCATCAGCATCAACATCAGCAACATCGCACGAAAAAAAGAACAGCAGCAACATCAAACCCACCACCATCATCATCTGCAATAGGAGCAGCAACAGCAAAAACAACCGCAGCAACATCCAAGCTGCCGCCATCATCAACAGCAACAACATCAGCATCACTAGTAGCAACATGAACCTAATCATCAGCAATAACAACATCAGCAGCAACGACAACATCGAAAGCAACAACATTAATAAGAAAAACATCATCAGAAACAACAACAACCGAGGCAGCAGCTATCATGAAAATGTTGCAGACGTTGACGCAGAAATAAAGGATTATTCCTTTATTTTGAAGGGGCCTCAGGCTGCCTTGGTATAAGTAATATGTAAGATCTATCAGACGTAATTAATAATCGCGCTGCTCTTCCCACGAAAAATAGACTTGTTATTCGAAGTCTCATTATGAAGAATCCTCTTATCGATTAATTATTGCGAAGAGGACAGCATATTAGGACACGCGCACTCCTATTGCTAATTACTCGCTTTCTAGAAATAAATACGAACATATGGGTAAGGAAATAAAAAATAAATTTTATAAATCAATGACATTATTCGTAGTATCTAAGGCATAAAAAATATGAAAATGAAGCCTTATTAGATGAAATGAATACGATGAATGATGAAATAACTGGAGATTCACCATTCACGAGTAGTTCAGCTGACTGAAGAACACTCACTGACTGAGAGTGCACAGTTGCAGTCTTCAGAGCGTTGGGTAGGAAATTATGTAGATTATTGCATTTAAACTCATTATACATGTAAATATTTACGAACAAAACTTAAATGACAAAACAAGCGAGGCGTTTTAGCTAATTAGTTTCAGCAGCATTGACGTGTGATGATTAAAAGTACCGTTCTTGCTGTAATATCATTATTTACATCTTGAATACACAATGATCATTTGCTTTTTGGACAATCATTTGCATTTGTTAGAAACAATTAATTTACCCTGCTAAAAGTGAGAGACTTTGATAAAAGTTGAAATTGTGTTCGCTGTGAATAGTGCCTTTTTCATTTCATGCCTAACTTAACTTGACTAATTGCAACCAATGTTCTGGCTAGAATTTCAAGGGCCACTTAATAATAGCCAGGCAGGAATAATTAGAAATAAAGTCTTCCGGTAACTCCATTTAAATCTTCTTTATTTCAGGTTTTGTTAAACTGCGGGACAGAAAACGCCGCAAATAAATAGAAAGTCAAATATACAAAAATTGAAAGTATTTCAAATAATCAAGGATTCAAGGTTAACGACAATTAAATCATAATGTTGCCACATGTATCACAATAAGTCGCTTATGACTGCAGGTTATTGAACTTACGTGAATGGCAGCCCCAGTCTGAATTGTAAACTTAAGGTGGAATTTGGTCGCTTTACCCTAGCCCTGAAAGATAGACAAATTACGTTACAATGGTGATATATATACATACAGAGCATGACGCACAAAGATACAATATCAACGGAAGAGATAAGATTCACAAATCACAATAAATAGACAAAAACATGTATAACACTTAAACTAATCGGACTATAGGAGTATAGCGCAGCTGTAGCGCTACTCCCATCACAAGTTATCAACACAATGTGCGGGCGGGTCGGCCGTGAATTCCGATACTGTAACGTCCGCGCTATTAACGTGCGAATACAAAATTACACGTCATGCGCGTACTGGACGTGACAACCAATGACTTTTTCGTAAAATTCGATCAACTTTATTTATCTTTGTACCTCTACACAATAGCCTACCTTCAAACTGCATTCGCATCACTGCTACTGCAGTGATGCAATCATTCTCTGTCACTCGTCAGTGGCAGTAACACGCACAGCCACATCTCTGTCACTCGTCAGTGGCAGTAACACGCACAGCCATATCTCTGTCCCTCGTCAGTGGCAGTAACACGCACAGCCACATCTCTGTCACTCGTTAGTGGCAGTGTCGCTCACTGCCACTCTGCCAGCCACATCACCTTCACGCCTCACAGGCCGTAATCTCCCAAAAGCTGTATGAGGTAGTGAGGCGTATCGACCAAGCCTCACGATATAAAGGTGCGCCTCACAAATTGGCCCTCAAGACGCTTCTTTGAGGATCGTGTCGGGCAGGCCCCATGGGGCCCCACAATATTCCTTAAAAGACGTCCTCATCATAAAGAAATTCCCCAGATAGAAAAATTCTTAGAGATAAAGAAGTGCCTGAGTGGCAGGCGCTGATGAGGCTCCAGGCTGCGACGAGACGCCTCCACGGGTGATGTTTTTTTAGGGCATCATAACAGCAGAAATGATGTTATATAAAGATATTATGACGTCGAGGAAAGCGCGTCACACTTTTTAAGGCATCATAACAGCAGAAATGATGTTATTTGAAGATATTATGACATCCAGGATAACGCGTCACACTTTTTAAAGGCATAATAACAGCAGAAATGATGTTATTTGAAGATATTATGACGTCAAGGATAATGGGTCACGCTTTTTAAAGGCATCATAACAGCAGAAATGATGTTATTTGAAGATATTATGACGTCAAGGATAACGCGTCATACTTTTAAAGGGCATCGTAACAGCAGAAATGATGTTATATGAAGATATTATGACGTTAAGGATAACGGGTCATATGTACTTTTTAAGGTATCATAACAGCAGAAATGATGTTATTTGAAGATATTATGACGTCAGGATAACAGGTGACGCTTTTTAAAGGAATCGCAACAGCAGGAATGTTGTTATTTGAAGATATTATGATGTTAAGGATAACGTATCACACTTTTTAAAGGCATCATAACACAGAAATATTGTTATTTGGTGATGTTTAGACTGATACAGTAGGTCACGTTATTTAAAGCAATCATATAAGCGAATATTGTGTCACTTAAAGATTTAATGGCATCAGAGGTGATGTTATGAGTAGCGTAAATCCCGAATAATTTACCAGACAGTGGCAGACATAATTGTGGTGGTCACAGAAATATGAGTTTAATTTTACAAGTTATAATTTAATTTTACCGTAGAGCCCAACAATGTAATGAAGGTAACATCATGAGTCACGGCACTATAGAAATTACGTGACTTCGTGAATCAGAATTGTATTGACTTAATTACCTTTGATGAATATATGTTAACGGCTAATATAATTGATGGTTAGTTCAATGTCCTATAAATTTAAAATCAAAGTGGTAATCTAAATAACAAATTTAAGTATTAAAAAGTAGGAATTGTAGCTGTAGAACATATTAATAATCAAATGTCGTCGTGCATTTCATCTTTGTTTTGTGGACCGCAAAAAGTTAAAAGAAAAACAGATAAGGAAAAATATCATCGTGACCTCTAGACTCCGGAATAACAACTCCGAGACAAGCAGGTACTTTAAAAAGCATTATTATCAAAGTACGCACTACGATCATGGCTCAAAACAAAAGGGAAGCGAACGACAAGCAGGCAAAAAAATACCATTATAATAAAATTACGCCCAGCAATAGAAGCCGAAAACAAAAGCGAATCGAGTCGTCCTCTGCGTTAGTAAATGGCCACAACAATGGCTGATCTTTGCGCAGATATGGCGTGGGCTGCAAGACAAGACAGTGCAAGGGCGCTCCAGCGAAGAGCAGTTGCGCTATTTTCAAGACCTCGACGAGATTTCTTCCAAGCACTTGGGCTGGTAGAGCGGCAGCCCGCTAATTGACTCATTATTCCATTAGGGAGTCCTAATGAAGTTCTCAAGCAAGAATCCTGCGATGTGGCTTCCGCAGCTGCGGCGTCTGCGGAGCTAACGCTGCTTCTCCATTTACTGATGGGGTGCTACGATTGTGGGAGATCCTTCCGCTGCTACTGCATTTGGTGCTACTGCTGCTACTGCATTTGGTGCTACTGCTGCTGCTACTGCATTTGGTGCTACTGCTGCTGCTACATTTGGTGCTACTGCTGCTGCTACTGGTACTGTAGCGCTGGTGTATAGTGCTTCTGTTGTATATGTGCTGCTTGGTGTCATTCTAGTTAACTGAAGCTGATGCAGAGCTTGAGTAGTTATTGTTAATTTAGCAGAGACAACTGCTCCTCTGGTCTCACTGGTGCAGTGCCTCTGCAGTTGCTGCTGATGCAGTGCTTGCGTTATAGTTATTGCTGATGTACAAGTGACAATAGCTGAAGCTCCTGCAAGCAAGCCCAAAGCTGCACGAATATTCCTGTTGTTGGTCTTAAATGCAAAAACTA